AGTTCCGAGGGGGGTAAGAAACATCCAAGATACAACTTTCGCGGAAGACAGGAAAGAATTAATGAGACGGGACCGAATGACTGACTACCACCTCGCGAAAGATAGAGGAAGAGGGACGCGGAAGGGGAAGGGCAGACGAAAAAAAAGGAGGAACGGAGAATTGGATCGCGAAGATGCAAAAGTTTCCCTCAAGCTACTCGAATGCGTCTCTAGCTGCTGGTCGGAAGTCACGCGAATCGCCGCTTGTGAAGGTGGCGTGTCCTCCTTTCTTTCCCAAGCAGCTGAGCGGCTTCTTGCTCTTCTTCGTCTTTCTCGTCGGCTGAGCTAACTTTGTAATTTGAATTTTCCGCGGAGACGTCAAAATAAAGAATAACCGAAAGCAACGAAAGTAACGAGAGGGTTCTCAGTCGGCCGCCCGAGTATTACGCAGTAGACGTTTAATTAAGAAATCTAGACTAATTCCTCGCTCAAAAAACAAACGAATAAATTATTAGTTGAAAACTGTTGTGATGTATTAACACAAATTATAACAAATCCGAGAACTATTTATTGCATAAAGCAAATTGAGAATATCCACAATTCAGCTAATTTAATCATTCTATCGAGAATAAAGAATAATTTTAAATATAATATATAACATGAGAAAATTAATTCTTTTCTACAAATAGTTCTAAATAATTATAGCGCACTCGCATTATTAAATTAAATAATATTAATTTGCGCATTTAAACATTTATTGTATTGTAATAAAATAGACCAACGTTATTATGCTTTTATCGCGTCATTCTGAAATAATATTGGCAATCGATATTATCGCCTGAGATAAAGATAGCAAGGAATATTTAGGCGCGCACACAGAAAAACTGTTCTCTAATATTCCAAGTATAAAAAAAACACCATATTTTGTTGACATCCCCGTGGTTATTTAGCAAAGCATTTTTAGGTGAGGTGGCCTCGTTCCATTAATTTAGCATGCATGAAACATGCTGATGTTATTTGCGACCGCCGTTAACTAGCGCGGCAAGGTACTATCTTTCATTTTGCTACACGAGGTAGCTTAGGGACATCTTTTCTCGTGTGAATAATTACGATAATTGAACACAACATGATATTAATTTTGGGACAATAATTTTTATATTGACAAAATCAAAAATTAAATAACGCTACACATTTAATTAATATCACTAAAATATATAATAGCTATTAATTATGATATTAATTTAATAAAAGCTGTCTGAAAACAAACGCAAAATCTATTAAATTTTTCCAAAGAACCTTTTTCCATGATTTAATTAAAATTAATTAAAAATTGATAAACAATTTCATATATGTACAATTTAATTACATAAAATTGTAATAGTAAATTGCAAATTTTAATTGATTATAAATTTCAAAGTATTAATATTGTACGAAATTCACATTGTAATAGCTATTTAGCCTCCACTTTTCTAAATTCGTGCATTTTTTGAACTTTATGCATTACTTGATTGATAATAATTTCGCTGCGCTTGTTCTGTCTTGTCGAAAATACAGAAATAACTTCAATCTCAACGTGAATCTTGACCCATGCATCGACTCGCAATACTATTCGCAATTTATAGACTATCGGCGTTACGTGTTTCACGTCGATCAAGCCACGAAGATCAAGAGCGGCGATTTCTCTCTTTGTCGGACCAGATAATTTCGGTTAAGTGGCTCTCAGGAAACGATCGCGTCGGGGCGACGGCGGCGGCGTTCCGTTAAACGACGCTTCCTTCCGTCTCGTCTCTGCGATTGCTCTCGTCTCTCGCTGTTCGTCCCGCGGCATCGATC